AATATTAAAAAATTGCTCAGAGTTAAAAATAGACAAAGATCTAAAAAATGAGTAAATATGTTTTCTCTTCAAAATACTATTAAAAGAATAAACACTTTTCTAAATAAGAGTGCATGAGTCATATTTTAAAAACAAAATTATGTTACTTTTATTTGAGAAAAGTGCAATGTTTCATCCTTGTTTAAAGATTTCTCTTAAATATTTGCATTCATTTTGATTATTAAGATACATATATGCCATATTCTCTTGATGTTCAGCAAGAGCAAGTTTGGTTGGGAAATTTCAAAATAGAGGGAAAGAGATGATAGATTATTTATAAATTTTTTTACTTTATCATTTTTTCTGAATTTGTTAGTTAGATCATGTATTTTTATATACTACGTAGTACTATTTTTACTTATCTTTATTTCAATTTTTCTAAATATAAAAATTATTTTAAATTTAAATATGATCCATCTCCTCCTCTCTCCTCTAAAATTTTCCAACCAAACTGGCGTTAAATGTTCACCCGGACAATGGCCCGAGTGAGGGGGAAGGCTGAACAAGTTGCGAACATACAAATCGGTATGAATGGATGATTGGTTTTGATTCAGTCCAAATTCCATTAACGCGATTGCTAAGCCCAACACCGGAGTATGAGAGAATGGATGCTTCAGCCAATGACGATGTGGTGCAATTGTACAATGAGTCGGGACATGCACCCTAGTGACTTTAAGGAATTTGCAGGCGTACAATCGAGCAAGGATGAATGAAAGCATGATGCTTATCCACTATTGCTAAGCCAAACAACTTTAAATGCCAAATGACCCTCTCATAGATTCATTTCAAAAAGAGAAAAAACTTAGGTTTAAACTTATTCATGTTTTGCACTTTCTTCATTGTGATATACATATCCATCACTCAAGTTTAATTGTTTACATCGCCAATATCGTGAACTTCTTGAAATCCCGTCGTATCAATCATGTAATAAATTTTATATGGTGAAAGTTATAAAAATGCTTTGTAAGATGAAATTACATGATTTATATGAAAACAAAAAAATATTGCGCCCAATGGACTGAACAAGTTAATATAAATTTTCATTTCTAATGCAAAATGATCGATGGTCCTGATTGTATTCATAGCCAGATGGCAAACGATATATTGAATTAATAAAGTTTCGGGGTTGACGATAAAAAAAATGCAAAATGATCAATTTCCTATACTTTACATTGAAGTATAATTTGTGTAAATTACTACTCTATACGGAATAGGGCTTTCTGAAATGTTTTTTTTTTTACTTATGTCATCTATCATTTCTTAATTCATGTACAAAATGGCAGTTACCCCTTTTACGAAAATTACTAGAAGTGACCAAAAGATGTGACAATTCCTTAAAGATGACTATATATCTTTTTGTTCCTAAATTAATGGTATTTATATGTATGATATGTATTTTGATCTCACTTTTTCTCTCTTGAATTCAAATATCATATATATTAGGAATTTATATCATGTATTTTGATCTCACTTATATAGTCATGTTTAAGTTTGGTAGTCAAATATTAGGAATTTATGAATGTTTTAGTCACATTAACATAAATTTTCCTATTGTTTTTGGGGACATATTTTACTCAAAATGGAGGGAGAAAGACTTGACACAAAAAGAATGATTTCTTGAAGGCAAGAAGCGAGAAACGAAATTTTTTTCCATTATAACTAACAACTGCTATAAACACAAACATATCCAGAAAGTGTCACAAGTTATGAACTTATGATTGGTTTGGAAAGGAAAACCACCGAACCAAATAAAATAGTCGAGGAAATTCTTAAACCACGGGGTTTTGTGAATGTCATTCCAAAAAACGGGACTTTGCTCTCTCGGATTTGGAAACCCCAATTCCGAATTGGATGATGGGTGGTGGTGGGGTGGGGACAGTGGCGGAACCAGAACTATTTCTGAGGGGGTGCTGAGAAATATACAGAGCGAAAAACTCAACGTTTACATTTAAGTACCAAACAAATTACGTCATTATGATTGAATTCAACACGAGATAATTTTGCCCATTTATTTTAGTTGGAAGTTTTTAAAGACTATCCACTTGATATTAGGAATTTTAACATGTTTAGCTAACAAATTACAGAAGTACACTGCAATAAGTTCATATACGTAGTAACAAATAGCCTTTGATTTATTTTTAATCACTAGATTCACTAATTAATAAATACGTTCAAGTAACTTCAGCAGGACAAAACATTACACATTACCCATACTCGGATATATTCACATGAAAAATTACGGAGTAATAAAATAATTTCCTTACCAAATACGGAGTAAAAAACTAAAAGAATAACTTCAGAGAAGAGTAGAAATTACCTTCTCACAACTTGAAGCTTCACGGCTTGTCAAGTTCTCCACTTTAGTCTTTAACAAATGCACAGGCGGCGGGGTCTTCAATAGTTCCAGGCTTCGATGACGGCAACAAGCAGGTCAGCAGTGCACCGGCGGCGGAATTTCAAATCGTCAGATTCCTCGTTTCCTCCTCTCGGTCTCTTCGATTTTTGGACTGAGCGAATCGATGGGTCATTAACTTCAGGATTGAGCAAATTTATTCAAATAATTTAACATTAGATAACTAGGTGTCGTTTAGTGTAAATATGATGTCGTTTTATTTCAATGCTTGCTCCCTTTTTAACTTATCGAAACGATGTCGTTCCATTTGAATTCTTTTTAAACGCTTAAGAATATCGTATCATCAGCCTCAGCGAGCAGAGGAAGGTTGGAGCGGACTGGTATACGGCCGATGGGCTTCAGGGGCGCCGGCAGAAAACTACATACATATACCTAAACTATTCCGGCGAAGGGGGAGCGCCGGCACCGGCTCGCTCCCCCCTGGTTCCGCCGGTGGGTGGGGAGGAGGAAGGGGGAGAGGTAGGGGTGAGGATAATTTAAAATATGAGTCTTTTAGTAAGTGATGTAACTTTTTTATTTGTACTTTATTTTTTTACAAAAATTATATCAAAATTCATAACTTTTTGTGATCTTTCTAACGATATCAGTATTCCATATATATATATATTTTTTTTTTTAAAAAAATTGAAATTTTAATAGTATGAGGTTTTAAGATTCAATTTTTTTTAGATAGATCCGAGTGATATAATTATAACATTTTTTTAAATTAATTGAAACATGTAAAATAGTTATGTAAATAGTGAGATCTTAATTTTAGCACTTGAATCTATTTAAGAAAAATTTTGGCTTCGAAAACTTTCTACTATTAAAATTTCAAAAAAAAGATTATATATGAAATATTGGTGTCATTAGAAAGGTAATAAAAAGTTATGAATTTTGATATATTTTGTTTGTAAAATTTAAAAAGTTACATCTCTTTATAAATAAATGAGATTTTAAATTAACCAACCCCCACCCCTCCCTCCTACCCACCTGACCTAATCATTCCAATTGGAAGTCCCATTTCCATTGTTCCAAAAGGTTGAATCGCCAACCCCAAGCGTCCCCCACGCCCCGACCCGACAAGATTTTTGGGAGGATGTAAGTCACGGTGACTCTGTCAGTAGAGTGGCAGTACTCACTAGACGTGCACAAAACCGGGCCGGCCCGCCCAACCGGCCCGCACAAATGGGCGGGCTTGGGCATATATATTTACCCACCGGACCGGGCCCGGCCCGGCCCGCAATAACATATGGGCGGGCTTGGGTTAGGGTGTAGGCCCGTTCAGGCCGATAAGCCCGGCCCGCTACATTTAATATATAAATATATACAATATATATATAATTTATTTATTTACATGTACATTTATATTTTCTAATATAATTTATCTTTATACATATTTATAGTTTATTATGTTTAAATTTAGGTTTTTAGATCTGAACCACTAGCCCAACTAATATAGTATCTATTTTTGTAATTAAAGATAATACTCTGTGCTTGAATTTTAAATTTTAGATATAGTTTCTCATTATTATTTTTGTGTAAGTATTATTTTTGTATGTGGTGAAAGACCTATAAACATTACACGCATATTAACAATTTTTTAAATGTTGTAATATTAGTTTTAAAGTATTAAAAAAATTCGAAAAATATAAAGGTTTTCCGGGCCCGGAGGCCCGGTGGACTACCCGGCCCGTTCTTATGGGCGGGTATGGACATGGGGTTAGGCCCGTTTTTGCGGGCCGGGCCGGGCCCGCCCACATATGATGGGCAAAAAAATTATAAAAAGCCCGGCCCGAACCCGTTTTTGTGCAGGTCTAGGCAGTAGGCCCATGCACCCGTGCGCACGGGAGGCCCAGCCTTATTTCAGGTTCTGTGACCTCCACTCGGCCGCTGCGGGGATTCGAACCTTGGTCATTGTTCCAAATTTCCCACCACTCAACCAACTGAGCTACCCGTGCGGGTTGGAAGTCCCATTTCCAAATCCCTCTTTTTAAGAAAACCTAGCCAAACTCTCGTATTTTTGCGTTGGATGTTAGGTTTTCTCGTATTCTCAGAAATCACCCAAAATAGTCCAAGATTCATTTGGATGCTACTCCGTAAAACCGTAATATGAAAGGGTATCAAACGTATGACTTATCTGCCAACTTTTTCATCTAACATGTAACTTTTGATTTCGCACAGTGAATTGCGTAATAAAAAAAATAAGGTTGATGTTACTTTTTTTCTTATATTAGCTGAAATTATTGTAAATGGTCATTTTAGCTATTTTTACATATAATGTTTCTTTTAATTTATTAATAAAATATATTCTAAATATTTTTTTTTTTCTTAAATCAGCAGAATCAGTCAAAACAACCACTTCAACCATAACTTCAACAAAAACAGTCGATTTTAGTAATTTTGAATGTCTTTAAGCTACTCCCGTACCCCACTAAACACTGGAGTAATGAAAATAACAAGAGTTCTCTATATATGGGGGCCCCTAAAAAGAATTACGGTAGAAATGTAGAACTATCAAATATGGACCTATATATTCATTCCGTATAATTTAAGATGATACGTAGTATGAATTAGTGAATTAGATAAAAGAAAACTTAAAACTCATTTGCCATCATCACATTTTGCCAAGAACAATGCAAATCATTCTATATCTGAATTACTCTAGCAAGTAGCTTCACAAACATATTCTTGGACTTGAAGGCGTTAAAGCTAAGAAGCTTAGAACCAAAAATTAAAAGAAGATTAACAAACCGGGTTATATGGGGATGCATTGCTGACGTGTATACAGTTAGGCTTCGTTGAATTTGACGTGCGCTGATTCCTCTGAAGCCGGACAATCAGCGGCAGTTTTCTCATCTGACGGTCCAAGACCCTCTGTGGTTTCAGGGCTATCACCTGGAGAGATCAGCGGCATGTTCCTCAAAACGTCAGGAATTTCAACAATTGAAGCCTTCTGTATGCCCCTGTTGAACATTGTAGCTGGTGATGGTGAAAAAAGTGAAGGCGGATCGTCGTTCTCAGAAAATTCCGGCTCCGGAGGTTCAGTTTCAGTGACTGGAGAGAAATACAGAGCAGTCGGCGTATCTACTGTCGACAATGTGCCAAATGCCTGTTGAACGTCAGGCGGAAAGTATATAATCGTCGCCGGCGAATAGGCCGGTGAAAATATATCACTGGTGTGATGCGGAACCGTGGAAGAAATGGGGGCGGCGCTAGGGGGATCTATGTAATTGGAGAACTTAATCGACGGAGATGGCGTCAATTTGTAGTTTCCAATCGGAGAATGAACAAACGATGATGTATTAACATCTGAGAAATTTCTGGATTTCGGTAGCCTTTTGATGCGATTTGAATCAGTAGAGTTGGAATGATCGATGGTGAGATTCGCTTCTAGGGAGGGAGCGCCGGTTCGAGCAACCACTGGCGGTAATGGAGACTCCGGCTGCCGCACCAGTACTTCGTGAGCAGAGCCACGAGATCTGCAATTGAGAATGCCTCTCAATCCATGAACTGCGATGTTACGAGCATAGAACATCCCCGGCATGACGACGTCAACGCCGTCGACGGATATGATATTGCCAGACGGTAAAGACGGACGGCTCTCTACGCGGAGATCGTGGTCGGCGGCGAGAGTACGGAGCGACGAGCCAGGGCGGAGCCTACTGAGACCGAGGATGGAGAGGCGTTGCGGAACGACGTGGCAGCGGAGAGTGGCGGTGTAATCCGAGGCGGAGTTCACCATGTCAAGCGCAAATAGAGATGAATCAGTCGGGGCAAAGACGGTGAAAGCAGCGTCTCCTCCGTCGACCAGATCGAATGCAAGGTCCGACGTGACAATTGCGTTGCTGAAGAGGCCATATCCGTTGCTTCTCAGAGCTGTCAACATGGAGTCCATCTCTCCCCTCTGGACGGAGGATACGGTGTCGAACTGACACACGATGACAGTAAGAGCAACGGCGGCGAGACATCTGAAGGTAGTCGCCATTGGAGAGGAGATGAATCCTTGAGTTCGTTGAATTTTGGCGGGGTTTCAGTTGGGATTTCCGGTTGTTAGTGGATGTTTAATTTGAACCATCGATTACGATGTACGGATTATTTTTATACAACACTATTCACTATAATTTGGAAATATTTGGATAAAGAAGACGGAATTAGGGGTGAGTTCGTTCAAACCGTTCCGTTTTCACCTAAAACCAAACGTCGAATCAAAGTAAAATGTTCAGTTCGGTTCTGTTTTATGTTGACAAATTTGGAACCACGATTTGTTCGATTCGGTTTATATCGGCTCAGTTTCAATTTTTTCGGTTTTACCAAAATATTTTTGTTGATTAGAAAAAAATAGTAATTGAAAAAAAAACAAAAAAAACTATATCAAACTAGTATTAATAGTTATTCAATACAAAAACATACATAATTAAAAAAAGAGAAGAAACAAATGCACTTTCAAGCAATGAATTAGAGAGCCCGTGTATAAAAATTTAAACATTTTCTAAATTAATTAATGTGTGAGTTTATTTGTGAATTATATGCAATGTATTCGTAAGTTAAAACTTTATTAGTAAATGACTTATTCTAGTTTCTTTTTAGACAAAGATATTTATGCTCCATTGTTTCACGATTTCTGCTATGTTGTTCAAAGTATAGTTTATATTAATACATATTTGTTCAATGTAAAAAACTACCGGAGTATATGATAACAAACATATATACATAACATACTACGTATAATATATCAACAAAATATCATTGTCATGCAACAATAAGCAAAATGTAAATTATGATTTAAAATATTAACATATTAGTATTATAGCAATATCTTGCAAATCACAATAAATCTAGTGTCAAACATTAATTTTCTAGAATTAAGAATTAAGAACTAAACAAAATAGTATACTTAATGATTAATAAATAAAATAACTAGTTTTAAAAAGTTCAGTTTATTTGGTTCAGTTCGATTTTGAGATATGAAAACCAAACTGAAACCAAACAACTACGGTTTGATTCAGGTTTTTGAGTTCGGTTTCAGTTTTCTTGCGGTTCGGATGTTTTGGTTGCGATTCATGTTTTTTCGATTCGGTTTTCTCTTTTCGGTTTCTCCGACCCACCCCTAGACGGAATAAATTGACTCAATTAAATAATCATTCGAAATCCACTATGAGCAATAGTGGACTCCAAGACATTCTTCAAAGGGACACGGATGAACTCGGTATGAGTCTGGTTCTAGTTAGATCTCATTGATTCTTGTATGGGTAGGGCAGTTTAGGTGTCCTAATTGATGTTTAACTAGGGTCGGGTGAATCATTTTCGACCTCGGATAGTGTACATCATCAAGATTTTATGGTTGTCCAGAACGGGTTAGGGTGGGTTTGGAAACACTTTAAAAAAGCACTTCTCAGCTTTTGGTTTTAAAAAAACACTTACTTTACCAAATACTACCACTTTTATTTTTCTCGACTTTTGTGTCAAAAGTGCTTTTACTTTTTCTATTACACAAAAGCACTTATTTTACCAAACAGTACCAACTTTTACTTTTCAAAATTACTTTTATCTCAAACACTATCAATTTTTATTTAATCACTTTCCTCATTTCATTAAAAAAACACTTTTTTTAAAGCAGAAACTATTGCAAACAGACCTTTAGAAGGAGAAAATCTTGGGAACTGATTCATGATCACCCGTTCCATATCGCCATGGCGAGTGGTGATAGGCGATTTCAATGACTTGCTTTGCCCAAATAAAAAGAAGCGATGCGTGCATCATCGTCTTTGGTTATTGAGGAGCTTTCTGGAGGTAGTATGAACTTGAGGGCTTACAAATTTCCCCTTTGGAAGATATCAATTCACATGGAAGAGGTAGAGAGGTTCACCGAGTTGGGTTGAAGAGAAGTTGTATATCATTTCATTTCATTTTCATTTACCCCAGTGACGCAAAGGCTCCCACCTAGTAAGGGGGTCGGATGTACGCAGTCTTACCCCTATACTAAAAAGCACATGAAGACTGTTTCCGGATGACCCATAGTGAAAATCGCGTCCAAAATTATATGAACTGACTGCTGCTTCATAACAAAGAAGCGCAGACAGTTTAGTGAGCCATTTTGCTTAATTCCATCATATTTTCAAGCAAAAAAATAATGAATCTTTGGCTCCATTGCAAAAGAAGTTGTATCTCATTCTTAGAGAAAACTGTCAAATAAGTCCTCCTACTTTATCAAAAAAGTCAATTAGGTCCTCATACTTTAGAATCAATCAATTAAACCTTTAAACTCATTAAAATCACTCAATTAAGCCGTTTAAGCAGTAATGAACAAGTTCCCGGTTATCCGTTACTATTCGCACCAGAGAAAGAAATCCAGAACTCTCTCCCTTCTCGTTCGTACAATGGAGACGAGTTAAATTTTGAATTGCGGCCATCGCCAGAGTTGCAATTTGTGGCCGCCAGTGCCGGAGTTGCAGCTTGTGGCCGCCATCGCTAGAGTTAGATCTTGTGGTCGCCGTTGCCGGAGTTGCAGTTTGTGGCCGCCATCGTTGGAGTTGCAGCTTCTGGCCGCTACCGCCAGAGTCATCCCTAGCTCACGGGCTAAGCAAACGGTGAGGCACAACCAGATCTACGCAGCGTCTTCTTGCAAGGCCGATGGAAATGGTGGCTAACTGGATAGGTAAAGATGGCGGCCGCTGAACTAAGTTGCGGTGATGCAGAGGACGGCAAGTCGGCGGCACAGACGGTGGCACAAAGGTGTGGTCGAAGAGGATGGTCAGTGCTCTACGTGAACGGCCGGATGGAGGATCCAAGCAGTGGACGCCTCACAAGAGGGTTGGTGCGGTGGTCTGGTGCAGAAGATGATCATGATTAAGTTATTAGGAAGAAAAACAGGAAGATGATTGAAAAAATAAAGAAAAATACAGAGTAAAAGTTCACAACAGTACATGCCAGGTGGAGTAATAATAAAACATTAAAAAGCCACATTGACCGTACACGTAAGGAGTTAACCGGATAGATCGACTTATTCTTTACCGGTTAAAAGGGTTCAATTGAGCACTTTTTACAAGTTTGAGGGTTCAATTGATTGACTTTAAAGTAGGAGGACTTAATTGACTTTTATTTTTTTTGGATGAAATGTAAATATATATTGACACCCAAGAATTATACATCAGTGGGTTTTAGATCTCCTAAAACCCCTCCCACCCCTACCTAGTGTAGGGGTTAGAAGAGGTTTTTATTCGATCTTAAACAAACACCAAAATCAAATGGGCCTAAGTATACAATACTAAATGCCCAGTCAAAACAAAAAAACAATCAGTGCTGCAATATGCACGCACACAGATCTAATAAGTTCAATCAAAACAGATCATAAGAAAAGCCCCAAAAAATGCCTCGGCACACCCTTGGTCAGTGCCCGAGCCAAGAAGCCGCGGCCTTGCGGTGGCAGCCCCATTCTTCCATCAAAAGGTAATCAACTCATATGGGTATAAGCTATATAAGATCTTATACACCACATGCTTGACCTTTGAAATTACATCAGCTTCTGTCTTCACTCCTCCATCAAAATGTAGCTCATTCCTTACATGCCAGATATAGTAAACCGTGGCACAGAAAGCTATCCGGACTGCTTTTGCTCTCAGCGTCGATCCTTTGTGGGTCTTCATGATCCACTTTATGGCACTTAGCAAAGTCGTCATCTCATGCCCGAGTCCCAACCAATTCCTTATGTTCTCCCATACCCTACACGTAAAAGGACACCGAAAAAACAGGTGTGGTATTGTTTCCAAACCACCCTTACAAAGGTCACACCTATTCACAATGTGTAGATAACCGAGACTATCCTGAGTAGGAAGCCGGTTTCTTAAGGCCAACCATACATTGAAAGATAGTTTGGGGGGAATGTAGGATTTCCATATGAAACTCATAGGAGTCCTAGCATTGCCCCTAACTCTCAATAACTCATAAATTTTCGCGGAGGTTAATTGACTTTTATGATATAGTAGAAGGACTTATTTCATAGCTTTCCCTTGATTCTTATGTCAAAATCATGTATGTATAAATTCCGGAGTGTCGGGAGCTCTGAGCGATCATATGGCTCGCTTTATCAGATTCGAGCAAGAGGAAATAGCGAATAGGCGTAAGAAATATAAATGTGAGAAAAGTTGATTTCTAGAAGAGGCATGCCGGGATGTGGTGGAACAAGTATGGGAGCTAGAGAGGGATGTGAGGTGACATGAAAAATCCAGTTTGTGGAGTAGAGGGGAAAACGGGGTAACACGGTATTTTTGTAAGAAAAATATTGCAATATCTTTGACTCTGGAGCGATGACTTTAGGCTTGTACAATTTAGAAAAGTTCAAGCAGAGTATTTGGATCTGCTAGAAAAAAATGATTGTTTTGAGACACACTTCTAATCTTAAAAACATGCTTCTAATCGGTGTCGCTCTCTTTAACCCACATACCACCGTATGACCTAAAGCCTTCAATCTATTCCTCCTATGATTACTCGAGTTGTGAAAAAACAAGAATAAAAATTGTCGAGGTAAGGGTCAGATTGGTACTCGAAGTTGCATAAAAAGGTCATATAAGTTTTTATATAGAAGGCTCTGTCCGGCCGTCGTCATTTGGGACGGTTCCGGGTGGAATTTTTGGACAATTTTTTTGAGCATCTTATTCATTAATTCTAGTTTACTCGTACCAAATTTTAGCTAAAAATTCAATCGGGAAGACATTCAAATGAATTCTTGAAGATAACTGCGCAGTTAAAAGCGCAGTTCAATTACATATTCAGGATGTTATCTTTTGGACTGTTTTCAATCCCAAACCAGATTAGACCAGATCAGACTTCTGTAGTTATAAAATACACAGAGACCAGACATTTACTAGACCAGATCAGACGAACAAATTTCAGTCAGAAAGAAAACATCCTCAATCTCTTTCACCAATGGTAAAATTAGACTGATTATTCCTTAGCGTGATCTTCATTAAGATGATCAATCCCTTTTTCTTATTTAATCATATTAGTGGTAGAAGGCCCGACCGCCCTCCTACGTCAGGAGGAATCAAGGGGCATAT